GCGGGAAGTCAGTTATCTAATCTGGTTACACACCCCTACCAGCTCTCTGAGCTGCCTCTCTGCCTTGGCTGTGGTTTGAGAAATGCAAAGACATATATGATCATGCTGTCTTGCTCCATCTCTCTCCTACACCCCACACTGTGAAACCAGCACTGGCTGATTTCAGTTGAATTGAAGAAACAGCAAAGTTTCAGGATAATATGTTTCTACAACAGGTGACTTCAGTTTGTGTTAGGACACTAGATGATACAAAACAAAGGGACCATTAAATGCCATCCTGCTGCCCAGGGAGCTGCTTCTGCAAGTCTCAGCTTGTATGAAAATAGGTTTTATGTACTTTCAAAGAAGGTTCTCTAGTTCTTTAGCAAAGAAATTAAGTGCATGACCTTGCTAGCAACCCCAGGCCCTTGTTCTTCGCATCCATTACCCCTAGCAAGAGACAAAAGTCACTGTGGGCATCATCTGGTGCCAGTGAATAGGAGAGAGAGCTGTCAGGGGGCACTGTGGTGGGTACGCCCATCTCCTGTCATTCATTAAAATGAACATGAGGTCTGACCTTTTTTTTCACCTTTGTTTCTTCTCTTCTAATGTTCTGTGTAACACCCAAAATGTATTTATTAATGTGCTTTAGAGGCTGTAGGATTTATTAATGTCCACCGCTGAGTGAAACTCAGGCATGCGATGCCTTTGCCTTCTTCCTGCTGGCTGCAGAGGCAGTCTGGGATGATGGGAAGTGAGTGCAACCACTCTCCTGGGTCAGGGCCCCTTTTTCTTTGGAGGCAGTTTGGATTACATTTTGGTTATTTGGATATTTTTCCACAACGAGATCTTCTGTAGCAATGATAGTTGTTCATGAGACTGCATGAAACACTGATCCAAAAGTGAAAATCTATTTAACCTGTTCCCATTAAAACCCTGATGGTTTAAGTTTTGCTCAGTGTGGGTAAACCCCTAAGCTTTAAGGAGCAAAGGAATCTAAAAATATTATTGCTATTTTATGCTAAAAATAAGCTACTTAGGTTTTGATCCACATTGTTGCTTTTACTTGCCTTGTGATTTTGAGTTTTGAAAACTGCAATGTATGCATCTCCTGTTCATTTCTCTAGAAATACAAATGCAAGAAACATTCTTTCAGAAATGAAAAGCATAAGTTTGATTAAATGGCTCCAAGGCTAAGCTGAGCTTAAAGAAGGATCTTAAAGTGCCACAGGAGTGGACCACATTTCTTTTAGTCTCTCCCAAAAATAATCTTGCTTTTATCTTCTCAGTCCTTCACTGGCTGGAGGACAGAAGGCATTAGGAAACAGAGTATACTGAGGAACAGGAGGAATTATGCCATAGGCCTTTTGCTCTGTCAAATATTTTCCTTCACTAGACACAACTGGTAATAATTCAGCACCTCCTTCCCCATCCTCTCTGCCTCATCACAGAGAAAACTAAGCTCTGCATGCTCTCAGGATTTCATGTCTCTGGGATTTCCCATATGAATCATAACATACCCCATGTGGGGCTCTCCTTGAGCATTAGGCATGCCCCATGCACAAAGGGGATGCTGTGTGGCCATGTATCCCCAGCACACCTGTGTAACAGCAGAAGAGGGCAAGAGAGCTGGAGCCAAGACTTGGACAATCACAGACCCATGGGACAGACAGGTGGGGGCCAGATGAGTGGGACACTTGACACCTGCTTTGGAGACAGATGCCTACAAAGCTGTAGAAGTGCAGAGCAGTGTCACTGGGATGGCCATGGAGACCTGACTTATGACAGGAGACTGAAAGAGTTGAGTTTGTTTATCCTGCCAAAACAGAGGCTAAAGGAGACACAACTGCTTTTAGTATATACCCTGGTGTAAGAAAGGGTTTCATGACATGGTGCCTGCAGTAGTAAGGGGTTAGATCCTGTGGCTCTGATGGACTTTTCCAGTCCTGTGCCTTGCATAGACCGACAAGAGCCCAGGATGAAGAGAGGCAAGTGCAGACCTAGCAGGCAAGAGCAAGCAGCACCCCTTAGAGAGAGTTCACCACCTTCAGGGTACCTTTTCTTCAGGTATTTCCCAAATTTTTTAATA